AGTTCGAGAAGTACGATGGGAATGGGGACCCCATAGCTCACCTCAAGAGGTACTGCAATCAACTGAGAGGGGCAGGTGGAAAAGAGGAGCTTCTCATGGCTTATTTTGGAGAGAGTCTAGTAGGCATTGCATCCGAGTGGTACATGGATCAGGACATATCTCGTTGGCACATTTGGGATGATCTGGCTTGAGATTTTGTCAGGCAGTTTCAGTATGACATAAACATAGCTCCCGACAGGAATTCCCTGTCGAATCTCAAAAAAAGTCATCGGAAAGTTTCCGAGAATATGCTGTTAAATGGCGCGAACAAGTGGCCAGGGTCAAGCCCCCGATGGATGAGACAGAAATGGTGAGTGTTTTTGTACAAGCCCAAGAGGCTGACTACTTTCAGAATATGATGTCTGCAATGGGGAAACCATTTGCTGAGGCCATCAAGATTGGTGAGATGGTCGAGAATGGTCTGAAAACAGGGCGCATATTGAGCCAATCTGCCATAAGAGCTACGTCCCAAGCAATTCAAAGCGGGTCCAGAGGTGTAGCGAACAGAAAGAAAAAGGAAGAAGTGGCAATGGAGGCTTTAGGTCCGAGAAACCCCCGTCCACCCAGAAGTTACTTCTCTCCAAGCACCCCACAGCATTATTATCCCCACCAGGATGTGGCTTAGGCTATGGCCCCCCATCCTTACGCAGTGATGAACGCCCAGCCATACGCTCGGCCACAACAACAGTTTAACCAAAACAGAGCTCCACTTCCTAGAAATAACCCTCCTCACCAAGCTCAGTATAATCCCCGACCTCCACAAAATAATTTCCCCTATAATGCCCATGCTCGGGAGCCACCCAGAAGAACAAACTTCACGCCTATTGGTGAATCATACTCTAGCCTTTTCCCTAAACTGGTCCAAATGGGTTTGCTACAACCCGTACCCCCGAACAGACAAAACCCAGAGTCACCTTCCTACCGACCCGGCACCCGATGTGCTTATCATTCTGGGGTGGAAGGACATGACACTGAAGACTGTTGGACTCTAAAAAGGGCGGTTGAAAATCTCATAGAGCAAAAACGGATAGTGCTGAAGGATGAAGAAATTCCTAATATGACCAACAACCCATTACCGGCTCACAACAATGGGCCAGTTATTGGGATGATTTGCGAAGATAAGGAGTTTGATCCCGCTTTGAAAGCCATCATTGCCATCGCTGATGTCGAAAAGAAACCAAAGGCTGCTGCAAAGCAAGACAAAGGGGAGAAGAAGAGTAAACCCACCCCTCAAAGTGCAGAAAAGACAGTGGAAACCAAAACTGGGGCAGTACCCCCAAAAGATGCCATTCTTTATGTTCCCCGGGGTCACAGGAAAGAACAAATGACATTGAGCCCTCCAAAAAGGTTCGAGCTGAACAAGGGACCTAAGATGTACGTGCCTAAAGGGACCTATGTGGTACGGGGGCCAGTAATTTCACCAAGGCTGAATGAGCCCGTGGTTATTGGCCGCGCACCACAGAAGCCCATGACAGACCCCACTGTCGTCCCATGGAATTACAACAAAGCGGTAGTGACATACAAGGGAAAAGAGGTCCTAGGGGAAGCAAATGAAACTAACCCAGCTGAGAAATACCTTAACTTGGAGGATTTGAACAAAGCCAAAAAGAAGCGTTTCCCACTCAAGAAGCCCGTCAGTGCTGAGGAGGCTGAAGAATTCTTCCGTAAAATGAAAACTGCGGACTACGAGGTAATAGACCAACTCCGGAAGTCTCCTTCACAGGTCTCACTCTTGTCTCTACTGGTGAGCTCAACCGAGCATCAGAAAGTGTTGATAAAGACCCTCAATGAAGCTTATGTTCCGATTGAAACCACTGTTGAACAACTGGAAAGGATGGCAGAAAGATTCTTCGCAGTCAACCAGATCTCATTTAGCAAGAATGATCTGCCCCCGGAAGGGGCTGCCCACAACAAAGCCCTTCATTTGACAGTTAAATGTGAGGGGTACTATGTGAAAAGAGTCATGCTGGATGGCGGATCCGGAGTTGATATCTGCCCTCTCTCAACTTTGCAAAGAATGGAGATTGGGACTGAGAGAATCAGGCCTAACAATGTCTGTGTGCGTGCCTTTGATGGCATCAAGAGAGACACCATAGGCGAGATCGATTTGATTCTGACTATCGGTCCTGTGGATTTCGAGGTGACATTTCAGGTCCTAGACATGGACACTTCTTATAATTTCCTCTTGGGAAGGCCTTGGATTCACGCGGCAGGGGCCGTACCTTCCACTCTCCACCAGATGGTGAAATTTGAATATGAAGATCAGGAGATCGTGGTCCACGGAGAGGACGAGCAATCAATTTATAGGGACCCGTCAGTCCCATGTCTTGAAGCTAGGGAAGGTAGCGAACATATAGTCTATCAAGCTTTCGAGGTTGTGGTCGCAGACCAATGTGAAGAAGGAAGCCCGTGTCCTCAACCCTTTCTCTCAAATGCGTCAATTATGGTTGCCAAGGAAATGATCAGGCATGGTTATAAGCCCGGGAAGGGGCTCGGGACATCATTACAAGGTATCACAGAACCTATCACTCTGGCTGCTAGCGAGAAGTTCTTTGGTGTGGGTTTTCAAGCCACGCCAGCTGATGAAACATGGGCAAATGAGAGAAAGAACAATGGTTTGGTTTTGCCTCAGCCAATCCCGCATCTTTTCAAAACATTCGTCAAGCCCAAGTACATAGAAGAGGAAGATGAGGCCTTCACGGCCGAGGAAATTGAAGAGATATGTGGAGCCATGAGGCAGATGTTGTATGAAACCCACATGGTCCAGCCGGGAGAAGGCTCGAGCACCGCTGAGGTGCAGTATATGGGGCCCAATGCCAAGTTGCAAAACTGGAAGGCTACTCCGTTCCCAGTCAGGCGGGAATCCCGGTAGTCCAGTCTTGCCACCTTTTCTACATCACGAGTTATCCCAGGGTGTAACTCGGATGTTTCTTTTAGTTTATTATCTTTAAAATTCCAATGTAAACCCTGTTATCTTCAAAATTCAATGAAATGAAATCAATATTTCATCGTTCATGAATCTCTCTCTTTATTCTTTCTGATTTTTGTTACTTTTTCTTATTTTCTTCTTTCAGTTCTAATAATGCGGCTTTAAATAACATGACATGCTTGCGGACTTCATGCCCAGATCCAAACACGCTGTCTAATTGTGAAATAATGAATCAAGAACCTGAATACGATGAAGAAGAGGCTTTTAGGGAAATAAATCGAGAATTGGAACAATTTGAGAATAAGCCTAAGCCAAATCTAAATGAAACCGAGCCAGTAAATTTGGGTAGTTCAGAAGAGGTCCAAGAAACCATGATAAGCATTCACACAGATGAAAGAACTAGGGATGCACTGATCCAACTTTTGTTTGAATTCAAAGATGTGTTTGCTTGGTCCTACGATGATATGCCAGGATTAAGTGTTGATCTAGTGGTGCACAAATTGCCAACTTACCCCGATTGTCCCCCTGTCCAGCAAAAACAGAGGAAGTTCAAAACTGATATTAGTGACAATATCAATGAAGAGGTCACTAAACAATTGAAAGCGGGTGTGATCCGAGTGGTCCGATACACCACATGGTTGGCTAATGTAGTCCCAGTGCCAAAGAAAGATGGGAAAACCCGAGTGTGTGTTGACTATCGGGATCTGAACAAAGCAAGTCCCAAGGACAACTTTCCTTTGCCAAACATCCACATCCTCGTTGACAACTGTGTCAAGCATGAGATACAGTCTTTCATGGATTGTTATGCTGGATATCATCAGGTCTTGATGGATGAAGAAGATGTGGAAAAGACAGCCTTCACCACACCCTGGGCACCTATTGTTACAGGGTCATGCCTTTTGGTCTGAAGAACGCCGGGGCAACGTACATGAGAGCTATGACTACCATCTTTCATGACATGATGCACCAAGAAATCGAGGTGTATGTGGACGATGTGATCATTAAGTCCAAGACGCAGGATGACCATGTTCGGGACCTAAGAAAGTTCTTTGAGCGTCTGCGCAAGTATGATTTGAAGCTAAACCCGGCTAAATGTGCATTTGGAGTTCCGTCTGGGAAACTTTTAGGATTTATAGTCAGTCGGAGGGGCATTGAGCTAGATCCAACGAAGATAAAGTCTATTCGGGATTTACCTCCTCCGAGAACCAAGAAAGAGGTTATGAGTTTGTTGGGAAGGTTGAATTACATCAGCCGGTTCATTGCTCAGTTGACTTCCACCTGTGAGCCCATATTCAAGCTGTTGAAGAAAGATGCAGCGATTAAATGGACAGATGAGTGTCAAGAAGCCTTTGACAAAATCAAAGAATATCTGTCGAATCCGCCAGTCTTGGTCCCACCCGAACCTGGGAGGCCTTTGTTTTTGTACCTGACAGTCTTGGAGAATTCCTTCGGCTGTGTCCTCGGGCAACACGATGTGACCGGGAAGAAAGAGCAGGCAATCTACTATTTGAGCAAAAAGTTCACAAGTTATGAAGCCAAATATACCCTGTTGGAAAGGACTTGCTGCGCCCTAACTTGGGTCGCTCAGAAGCTTAGGCATTACCTGCTGGCCTACACCACTTACCTCATCACCAGGTTGGATCCTTTAAAGTACATATTCCAGAAGCCGATGCCCACAGGGAGGTTGGCAAAATGGCAAATCCTGCTCACTGAGTTCGACATAGTCTATGTCACTCGCACGGCAATGAAAGCTCAAGCTCTAGCGGATCACCTAGCTGAAAACCCTATTGATGATGAATATCAGCCTTTGAGTACTTACTTTCCAGACGAGGAAGTGAATTCAGTTGAGGTAATTTCAGAAGACGCCAATGCTTGGAAAATGTTCTTCGATGGAGTGGTGAACGCAAAAGGTTTCAGGATTGGGGCAATTTTGATTTCACCCACCGGTCAGCACTATCCAGCCACAGCTCGGCTTCGGTTTTTCTGCACAAACAACACTGCCGAGTATGAAGCCTATATTATGGGTATGAACATGGCAATTGACCAAGATGTGAGAGAATTGGTAATCATGGGAGATTCGGATCTGGTTATCCGACAGGCTTAGGGAGAATGGGATACCGGGATGTCAAACTTATACCATACAGGAAACATGTGGAAGATCTTAGCAAATGGTTCAAATCTGTCGAGTTCAGGTATGTCCCTTGGTTCACAATGAGTTAGCCGACGCACTCGCTACCTTGGCCTCGATGTTGCCGTATCCAAGCAATGTCCATATTGACCCGTTGAAAATTCAAATCCGAGAAAGGCATGGTTACTGCAATAAGGTTGAGGTGGAACCAAATGTACAACCATGGTACCATGATATCAAGATGTTTTTGAAAACAAAGAATATCCCGAGCAAGCCAGTGGATATCAAAAGAGAACCACTAGAAGGCTCGTTGGTGGTTTCTTCTTGAGCGGAGAAGTTTTGTACAAAAGGACTCCAGATTTGAACCTTTTGAGATGTGTGGATGCCCAAGAGGCCGGAAGAATCATGAATGAAGTACACGTAGGAGTATGCGGACCTCATATGAATGGATACGTTCTTGCAAAGAAAATCCTTCGAGCAGGGTATTACTGGATCACCATGTAAAAGGATTGCTTCAGCTTCGTCCGAAAATGTCATCAGTGTCTGGTACACGGTGACCTGATTCATGCACCTCCCTCAGAACTGCATCCTATGTCCGTGCCATGGCCGTTCGTTGCTTGGGGTATGGATGTCATCGGGCCAATCAAGCCAAAAGCTTCAAATAGGCATAGATTCATATTGGTTGCCATCGATTACTTCACAAAGTGGGTTGAAGAAATTACTCTCAAAGATGTCACTAAGAAAGCAGTGGTAGACTTCGTGCACTCCAACATCATTTGTCGTTTTGGTATCCCTAGAACTATCATTACGGACAATGCCGCAAACTTGAATAGTCATTTGATGAGGGAGATATGCAAACAATTTAAGATCACGCATCGGAACTCTACCCCTTATCGACCCAAAGCTAATGGTGCCGTTGAAACAGCAAACAAGAACATCAAGAAGATTCATAGAAAGATGATCCAAAGTTCCAGGCAATGGCATGAAAAGTTGCCATTTGCATTGTTGGGATATCGCACAACTGTGCGTACATCAGTCGGAGCAACACCCTATCTGTTGATGTATGGCACTGAAGCCGTAATACCTGTAGAAGTTGAAATTCCATCTATTCGGATCATTGTTGAAGCTGAGATAGAGGACAGTGAATGGGTCAAAACCCGGCTGGAACAGTTAACCCTGATTGATGAAAAGCGAATAGCCGCAGTCTGCCACGGGCAGTTGTATCAACAAAGAATGGCCCGTGCCTACAACAAGAAAGTGCGGCCTAGGAACTTTGAAGTGGGGCAACTCGTTTTGAGGTGTATTCTCCCTCACCATCAGGAAGCAAAAGGAAAGTTCGCCCCAAATTGGAAAGTTCAGTACATTATAAGAAAACTGTTGCCAAAAGGGGCATTGTACTTGGGAGACATTGAGGGAAATGATCCTGAAACAGCTGTAAATGCTGACGCAGTCAAAAGGTATTATGTTTAGTCTTTCTGCAGCACCAATATTATCCGGTTGGGATGACAAAGGCTTTCATTCTCGTTACCCCAAACACTTTTACCCTTTGAGCCGGTTACCTTTCTTTGATTGCCCTCTTTGGAACCCGAAAAAGTTTATCAAAAAAAAATATATCAATCAAAAATCAAAAAAATCAAAAAAAAAAACTTCCTGAACTACGTTCGACTTGATTCCGAAAGGATATGTAGGCAGCCTCTCTCTGGGGTTCAGTCACACCAAAAAAAAAATCCAAAGTTCCCCAAAAGTTGAAACTGGGGCAGATGTTATAATGGTTTGGCTACGGTTCGCCTCAATAGTTCCAAAGTTGTAATTCAATCCAAATTCCTTTTACCCCAAATCCTGTTATGTTCAAGAATCGGAGAATGCAGTTGCTTGGATCTGATGCAACAAGATGAGAGAAATAAAATGAGAGAGTCTTATTGGTGAAAACCCACACGGGCACTGTAAGGCGATGGTGAGTAGAGAAACTGAAAATGAGAGAGTCTTGTTAGTGAAAACTCGCAAAGAGCACTACAAGGCGACGGTAAGAAGAGAAATGAGAGAGGTCAATTGGCGAAAACTCGCAAAGGGCGCCGTTGATTGAGAAGAAGGAACTCCTTACAACCATTGGCACTGAAAGAGTCCTAGCAAGGGTTCTCAATTTTAAAACACGAGTCATAATGGGTTTATGAGAGATTGGATAGTTGCGCAGATCGGGTATCCAGTCCAAGGAGCATGTCATGTCTATTGAAGTCTGCATGCACTCCAGATAAGTCCTTCTTTCCTCCCCCGAAAGGGACACTTCTCTTTAAATTCATTATCCTGTCCTTTCTTTACTTTTCTTTGAATCCCTTTCGGTTTAATCCTCCTCCGAAACTAAGAAAAGATGGCAAGATTGGTTTTACAGGGTTCTGCTTAGCAAAAGCCAAGTTCAAGTAATGGCACCCAGCCTTAGCAGGTGCATCAAGTCGATCTCGACTGGCCATGATGGCCGAAGATCCAAAGTCAAAATTATTAAAAAGGAAAGAAATCCAAAGTCAAGTGCCCATAAAGGCAAAAGGAAATGAAAAGCCAAGCCCCACAATGGTTAACTATCATGTGGAACTTTGAAAAGTCAAGACCCCTGGGTTTAGAAATGAAGCCAGTTCCCAGAAAGCCAGCAAGCAATGGAGATTTCATCGAAAGAGTTGGGCCGAGATCAAGTGATCAAAACAATCAAGGCCACAAAACCAACCACCGTTTCAAACTGACAAATTGTTCTTTGATTTGAAAACAGGTGCAATCCAAAAACAACCTCGCAAGAAGCAGGTGCAATAAAAGCAAGGTGCGCGGAGACCAGAATGGTCCTGCAGCGGAAGTTAACCCAAAAAGGGAAGTCCCTTTCGAACTCTTCATGCATCCCCCTGAATAAAGTGCTAAAGTAAAATGAGAAGAAAGAAGAAGAAAATTCAAAACCATGGTAGCATAGGGCCTCTAATCTCTAGTTACGTTTTCCCAACATAGGGTCCCATTCCCTAGTCACTCCCAGCATAACCTGGTAGTCTTTTACATTACAGGGTTCCACTCCCTAGTTGATTCCCGGCATAACCCGTGGACCTTCCCGGCATAACCCGAGGACCTTTTTCTTTTTCGGCATAACCCGATAACCTTTTCCGGCATACCCCGTGGACCTCCCCGGCATAACCCGAGGACCTTTTTCTTTTCCATCATAACCCGATGACCTTCCCCGGCATAACCCGTGGACCTCCCTGGCATAACCTGAGGACCTTTTTCTTTTCCGGCATAACCCGATGACCTTCCCCGGCATAACCCGTGGACCTCCCCGGCATAACCCGAGGACCTTTTTCTTTTCCGGCATAACCCGATGACCTTCCCCGGCATAACCCGTGGACCTCCCCGGCATAACTCGATGACCTTTTTATTTCCGGCATAACCCGATGACTTTCCCGGTATAACCCGTGGACCTCCTCGGCATAACCCGAGGACCTTTTTCTTTTCCAGCATAACCTGATAACTTTTTCGGCATAACCCCTGGACCTCCCCGGCATAACTCGGGGACCTTTTTCTTTTCTGGCATAACCCGATGACTTTCCTGGCATAACCCGTGGACCTCCCCGGCATAATCTGAGGACTTTTTTCTTTTCTGGCATAACCCGATGACCTCCCCGGCATAACTCGAGGATCTTTCCGGCATAACCCGGCCATTTTTCCAGCATAACCTGGAAATCATTCCAACTTAGGGCCCCAATCCCTAGTTGATTTCATTGTAGATATAGGGCTCCACTCCCTAATCTCTTTTTGCCAAGGATACACAATCCTGATTTTATTGCTTAAAATAGTTTAGATTTTGTTGCAATAACTCACGAAATTTTCCTAGTGAAAACTGGGGCAGAAAATTTCGTTTGTTTGTTTGTTTTGGTGCCTGAACAGGTTTTTACCGTGAGGCACAAGGTTTGAGATGACCAAAAGAAGAAGTCTCAACCCAAATAAAAGAAAGAAGAACAAGAAAAGAAGTTGAACTCTGAATGTAGGAGCGGAGAAAAGATGCGGACTACTCAAAATTTGGTTGAAGTCACAAGCTTTGCATGTCCCGCCTTGATCCGAAAAGCTGAAGAAGATGAACCAGTGGTGGCAACTAACGAGCATCAAGATTCAGATCAGAGTCTGCGGGAAGAACCTGCCAAGACTCGAGATCAAGCTTTAGAAGGTTTATAGATAGGAATCTTGTAACTCGTAGTTGATAGGCTTAGCTAGTTTAGCTTTTCAACTTTCATTTTGGTGTAATAAGGAGTTCAGCAAGCAGGAACAGCAGCAATAGCAGTGAAATCACAGTTTCCCGGTAGTCCCAACTACCAAAACTTCCAGAACTACACTGACCTGATTCCTTTATAGCGAAGGATATGTAGGCAACCTCCGAAGCAAGGTTCGGTCAGACTCTTTCAAAAGATGCTTCTCATGGAGTTTCAAACGGGCAAAAATCCCTCATAACTGCTCATTTTATCTTTGCCCGAAAACCCGTCGTGTTTCCGAGCAAAGAGGGGCAGCTGTGAACATGTGATTTTTGCCCTATACGAAGTACTCCTATAAAATCCGAAGAAAATAGATTTTTTGTTAATTATTTGCATTTTAGGAATTTTTGCAGAATTTTATTTAATTGTTTGCATTTGTGTGCATGTTTAAGGTTTATTTAAATCATGAAAAATACCAAAAATACCATGCATTGCATTTAGGCTTTATTTGTACATTTTTTTAGGATTAATCAACAATTATTTGTTTTATAGAAATTTGAAAATCACAAAAAATAAAGTAGCTCATTTTTACATTCTTTGTCTTTTAATTTTTAGTTTATTGATTTTTCTCTTTTAGTTTAGAATTAAGTAATTTTTATAATTTTTGTAATTAGGTAATTAATTTAACTTCACATTTTTAGATTAATTTAGGTTTTTAATTCNCTGGATACAAAGGCCGTTTTAGCCTAAGAGGGAACAGAGAAGGATACATTGGAAAAGTAGTCAAAGGCTCAATCTCCCACAAGGAAACCCTTGGTTGCCTGTCGCCTGCTGTTGACTCATCCCAACCAACCTATAATTTCGTGAAATTTATTGTGTAAATATGAAGTATTAGCAGCAAAAGTGACTGTTTGGCCCATACAAGAGAATATGATTGTAGATCTGTAACTTCCTTACTGTAGATTTATAATTTTTTTCTCTTTTAATTTAGAATTAAGTAATTTTTATAATTTTTGTAATTAGGTAATTAATTTAACTTCACATTTTTAGATTAATTTAGGTTTTTAATTCAATTTAGGATTTCTTATTAAAAAAATTTAAAAAAATGAGAAAAGAGAAA